TATAAAGGAAGATAATATATTAAGCAATTTTTTAGTTATTGGAATAACTATTAGGAATTATAGTTACTATTAGGCATGGCTATGTGAAGGAAGTTAAAACTGAGTTAAGAAAAATAAATAGTTTTTAAAGTTGTTCCAGGAACAAGTTTAGACATACAATTAAAAAATGTGCATTTTGAGACATTTTTGAGACTGAAAAATTTACACTTGTAGTTCCCTTTCTGTTTTCCTTCAAAAATAGGGTGTGCTGTAAGCTGCTTGTGCCATCAAAACTGAAAAGTTTTAGGAGCTCTTTTAAGACAGGGAATAGTATTTATTGGAAGGCAGAAACCCTTGATGTGATTTAGTGCTCGCCAGTAATTCACACACATTTTGAAAATCTGCCACGATATATGACAGGTGTCTCAGGCGTTTTGCATTTAAAACAGAATTATTTTCTGAATATGCTGAGTTTTGTCATTGTTTTCTGATTCATTCACTCATCATTCAGTGTTTAGAGACCACACATACTGGGCATACTTCTGGTCTCATTCTCACCCACGAAAGTCTGACTTCAGTAGAGTTGCACGGGTGTAAATTAGACTAGAACTTGGCAGGAGAAAGCTTATGATTATATTTGGCAGAGGCAGCAGGCTGCAACTTTATTAACATAATTAACAGCTACAAACACACCCAACAGGCCAAAGTAATCTAGTGACAGAAGAGAGAAGGTCTTTGTAGGAAAGGATCATTCACGCCTTTTTTTGGTGTTCTGCTTCTTGGTCCTGAGTTCCTACTAAGGCTTGGAGAGCTTTCAATTGAGCTGTAATTCAAATTCATACGGCTCCTACAAGACACCTTGAACAGACTTTTGCTGATGAGTCTATAGGAACTGTCAGCAATACGGAGATTACTTCAGAAGCGTGGTGGTTGAATTGAACTTTTACTTTCTGATGTTTTGCTTTTTGAATTAAATTGTTGGACAAGATTAATTGCACGCAGTAAGAGATTTAAATGAATAGCTTTATAAAGCATTAAAGTTCTAAGTACGTCACATGGGAAAAAAGCTGTAAGGTTTAAATGAATAAATGTATTTAATGCATAAAATGTCTAGGCTAATTTTTTAATTCCTTTACTAACATCTTTTATTGAAAAAATATACTTTATTCATCCATCTTAGTTATACTGCTGTGGTTGTGGTAATTTAATATTCCTGCTCTTCACTAATCTTCTGGTTCAACAGAAGTAAACAATAGCTTTCATAAATTAAAAATACACTCTTCAGAACATGCTTCTAAAGATAAAAAACAAGGCTGTAAACATTTATGACTGAAACAAACTAGATTGTTCAAATACTGCCATGATGTATCATGTATATCAATATGGCACTGATATCAGTTAGAATGCAAACAAGGTTTTAAATGATGTGCCCCTTCATTTCAGCTGGAGAATCCGCTTTACACCATCTGCCTATCAGATGGTTAGGAACCAGGACTGCGTATTAATGCCACATGTTCGATTTTCTTTCCCCTTGTAATGGTTAGATTCATATTGCTAATAGCTGTGCATGAGCACTGTCGATGAAATTTGTGTGACGATGGAGTGATGAGATATTTATAAAGCTGCCTGTCTCACTGCATAATCAGCAGGATTTTTTTTTAGCAGGAAGAATGCCAGACATAAACAACTTATCAATTTCAGAATATTAATGACAACTGCCATTGACTTTCATCCATTGAATATTTTGGCCTGGATACTTTTTAACTGTTCAGATATATATTTTAAAGAATAACAAATATCTAAGTGGCCATTCATTGTGATCCTTATTTCTCTCATTTCAGCTGCCTGTATCAACTTCTGATTGCACTTGAAGATAAAATTTCTGTAGTGTAGAAAAGTGTGCACCTCAGAAATTCATTAGCTACTTGTAAGAGTAAAGTGATACATCAAATAATGTTTAGGTCAAAAGGCTTTTCAACAAATTTTAACAAAATTTACCCAATTAAATACCTAAACCTGAACTTTAAAGTTTAGAATTTTGAAATATACATATAGATACATAGCAGCTTATTCACCTCCTCTGTTTATAATATATTTGACTGCTTTTGCTAGTGAATCAAGTGAGGTAAGTCAGGCCCTCTGCTAAAGAGGAAGCTTTGCCTTGTACAGTGCCACAGTATGCCACAGTGCACCAGTAATTATAATGCAAAAGGCTCTAGTAAAAGGCTCAGCACCTTCCTTACAACTTGCTTTGCTGCCTTGTGGCAGTCAAGGGCTTAGAAAAGGAACACTAAAGCAGAAACTGTGCTGTAGGCTGGAATTGCTGTGAGGAATGGCATTAAGTGGTAATTCAGAGGATTTTTCCTTATATTTCCCCTGCACTTACACCAGTGCTTATATGAGACATGCATTTCAGATTCCTAGAGTTTAAATGAACTGCCAAGGTAATAATTTCAATCATTTATGCAGTCATATGAGAGAAGGAATGAAATTAGTAGTTTAATTTCTGATTATTTTTTTTTAAGTAACATTTATTATCACAAGCCTTATCTTGCAAAAATTGTACCACAGAACTAAGTGATCTGTATTTTAGTTTCCCAGACCCCATCCAGTTATGGCTTCCTCTAGAGGGAAGCATTATGACCTACTTTGGAGAGAAGCACTGAAGTATACTTTCTTGCAAATTTTGTAGCAGAAGAGAGTTTGTATTATAGCAGTTCTGTGACCGGGTCATTACCCCAGTGAGACATAATATTTACAGGTGGGCTCGAAAGCCCAACATCCAATGTCTGTTTAATATGATATTTTTGGAAGCACTTAAAAACTGCTGATCTGGAAGTGCAGTCACAGCCAAAAATTTGAGGCCTGCTGTTGTATTCATTAGTTGTATCGTATTTAACTATTCCTCCAAAGGATTGTTCTTTAAAGATGCTAGTTTTAGCTTGTCAGTGATGTATATTAAAAAAGGAAGTGTAGGTTATTGTATTGTTTAATGAGCACAGGATGCAAACTGAAGTTCAGAGGTGCACCATTGCCTTTTCTGTGGCCTAATTTAGGGACTATAACCAAATTTGTATAATGTATAGCTTCATATCCTTCCTCTAAGGTAAAAATACCATTGGAAGCAATCCATGTTATTGTCAATACCTTCTTAAGTTCAAAATGTGACCAATTAGTAATAGTAGAAGAAGCTAAAATAAAATTAAACCCTTGTATTTATCCACCTTTTGATTTAGTTTTTGGGTTTTGGTACATCTTCTTCTACCTTAAATAGCAGTTTTCTAAGTAATATCGAGCTGCGTATGCAGAATGCAATTATCACTTACTCGCTAATCCTCATTGCACTTGGAGGTGTTAGAAATCAGCCTGTGAGGACAGTCAGGAGGCTGGAAATGTTTGCTAATATTTATGCGGTCATGCGAAGAAATGAGGGAAGGCAACCTTGAGTCAAGCCACAATATATTCAAAGGCACCTCTTTTGCCACCTCATTGCTTTCCCCAGGATGACAGAGATTCCTCATGTCTGTTCACCTTCTGCCTTCTTCCCGCTGGATTTTGCATTCTGTCTGTCCCCATCGCTGGCCGAAAACATGGCAAGAGTGAACTCATTTTCCATTTAAGGAGGCAAGGGAGACAAGAAGAGCCCTTGGATGCAAAGGTGGTAGCAATATTTACCTCAGCAGCCTGGGATTATTTGCTTATTTGGTCTTTCCTGCTAAATTGCCCTCCTCCGATGCTGGGCAGCAGCCTGGGCCCACTAGAATAGGAAGTTGTGCAGTTAATTCCTCTTGAGATCCATAAGACACTTCACACCTCTCCGAGCAGCTGAAAATCAGACAAGCAGGCACCTTTAAACTAATTACACTGAGTTTTTTCAAGTCTTCTCCACAGTCAGGGCAAGCATCTTGATTCAAAATGACTGAGGGTCTATTCTCACAGTGGCATTACAGGCTGAGGACTGAGATTGCATAATTGCCTGAAAGATACCAGGTTTAATGCCTTGTCTTTCATTTCTTGTATTTAATTCTCCTTAATTTCCATCTCTGCTTCTTAGATCAGTCATAGGCAGCTCTCATGAACTTTGACACTGACTCCTCTCTGTCACCACCCAGGCTGGGGCAAAGGGATGTGAGTGGGTAGCAGCAGCCTGGTTTGGGGGTCACGAAAGACTTGTCTTGCCTTGGGGAAGAGGGCAAAAATTTAGGCTTTGATTAAAGACTGTATTTAATTTTGTGTTTTGTGAGGGTTACTGGACTGTTAGAGAAACAGTCCAATTTGTCAAAGAAATTTTCTTGGTTTTGTCCAACATTCTTGTAAATGGCTGGATGGCAGAAATTTGGTTTAGTAGATGAGCTGAGGTTTTCTTGAAGGTAGCTTTGGTTATGAGATTAATTGGGTTTTAATAATTCTTCTTCTCATTGATATACCTTGAGGTTTTGAGAAAGCAAAATAAGTGTTTTACTGATGTTCTGTATTACTAACCTTTTTTGTAAAAATGCTTCCTAGAATGACTACATCCCCTTGCTGCTAGGTGTGAAATGAAAAAGAGATGTTTGAGTTCTTTCATCTGTTAGCAATAAATAGAAATTATAGACCTTTTTTTCTGTTTTCTTTAGCATGGCTAGCATATGAGATCTAAAGGTTTGTTTTTTTTTTTTCTTGATAAGTACAGTTATGTACATGTTCACCTATTAGGAACTGAGCACTTAAGACACTATTTCAAAGCCACGTTAGAATTCTGAAAGCAGGTACTTCTGTCTCCAGTTAGTTATGATTGTGTTGTGAGTTACTAGGAACATAGGTACATAGAGCAGACATACAGAAGTAGTTCTCTCCATAGCATCAGAAACATTTTGCTTGAAAAAGTTGATAAATTTCAAGTCCAACAAGAGGAGCAATACTTTGCAGTGTTCTCCATTCATCGCATATCATGCATAAAGAGAGAGCAACAGTCTTAGTCCCTACAATAATGAAGAATCATAGAATTAAGTATATTAAATTTTGTTCATGCTTCTTTGCAGGCCTGACAGCAGCAGCTGCAGCAGCAGCAGCTGCCACCAATGCTGCCATAGCAGAAGCAATGAAAGTGAAAAAAATTAAATTGGAAGCTATGTCCAACTATCATGCAAATAATAACCAGCATGGAGCGGACTCTGAAAATGGAGATCTGAATTCAAGTGTTGGTAAGTCTCAGACATTGTGTTATTGTATGTCCATAATGCTCTGAT